CCCCTTTTTCTTTAGAAGAGGACATTCATGATTGACATGCCCCTTTCCTTGACAATTGAAGCAACCGGGGACTTTTCTTCTTGGTTGATTCATGTTTCACTTCTTTGGAAATCATGAATCTCTTGAGTTCCTTCAAGAGCTTGGCCATATCATCTTCTTGTTCATCATCGTCTTCATCCACCTCATCACTTGAATTTTGATAGCTTTCATTGGTGGATTTGAAGACAATGCCTACCTCCTTGTTTTTCTTCTTTTCACCTTCTTTCTCTTCCTTCAACATCATCTCATGAGTGAGAATGGAACCAATTAGCTCATCAAGAGTGAGAGACTTTATTTCTCTAGCTTCGATAATGGTCTTCTTCTTCGATTGCCACGACATTGGAAGAGAGTAGATCATCTTCCTCACATGCTTCTCATTAGGGATTACTTCTCCAAATCCCCTAAGACCGTTGAGAAGATTTTTCTTTGTTTCCCTCACTTCGTCGGTTTCTTCATGAGTGACTTGGAGCTTATCCAAAATCTCTTTAGCACTTAAACAAGATGAAATTCTTCCATATTCATCTGGGCCTAAGCACAAAAGAGAATATGCATAGCCTTAACATTGAGCTGGTACTTTTTCTTCTCTTCATTACTCCAATCATCCCAATCATCCCAATCATCTATCTCATAGGGTGGAGTGGAGTAACCCTTCATGATTGAGTTCCAAGCTCCTAGATTGTAGGATCGAATAAAAAACATCATCTCATTCTTCCAATGGGCATAATTTGCTTCAAGTCAATCATGAATCAACCAAGAAGAAAAGTCCCCTGGTTGCTTCAATTGTCAAAGAAAGGGGCATGTCAATCATGAATGTCCTCTTCTAAAGAAAAAGGGGTCAAGCAAGAAGAAGGCATCTATTGCATCTTGGAGTGATGAAGATGATTCCAATGATGAAGATGAAGTAGTCAACCTATGCCTCATGGCCACCGAAGAAGAATTTGATGTATCTTTTAACCCAAATGAATTTAATTCATTTACTTTTGATGAGTTACAAGATGCTTATAATAGGTTGTATTTGGGATTTGAGACCATGAATTTCAAATATACGAAATTAATTTCAAAACTCAAAATTAAAGATAAATCGATTTTGAAAATAAAATTCAATTTTGAAATTAATTTGCTCGATAATTATTACCATAATTCTCGCACTCTGAATACCTCACAACTCTATTAGAGCCCCTATAGCTCGCCATAGATGGTGAAGCTGGTGGTCTCATACGAGACCTTACATCTGACCTCTGACTGAACTAGAGTGACAAGGCTGATGTCACTCTCCTCTTCTCGTGTGAACCTCTGGCCCTCTCTGCCACTGATTGTGTAGGTTCACAGGTATACAAGTCCTCATACTTGAGTTGTCTTATTCTTTCTGTAAACTCTTCTTCATATTCTACACCCTTTCCAAAGCCTTAGCATGACGAGATAACTTGAAAATACCCTAGGCAGATCTACCACCAATTACTCATGGATGCCAATATGAAGTCCCTCGAGTAACCTCTTGCACCTTAAGGACTCGTTTGCAACTAACTCTGGAGCATAATGAATTAACCGTAGAAAATATCTCTTATACTCATACACCGAGTGATTTCCCTAAACTAACCGAGAGAACTGAATCCTCAACCCATCTATGTGTGTTTCGCTGATATACTTACCTCTGAACTCACTCAAGTATTGAACCCACATAGACACCTCTAGATGTAGAGCCATCTATATAGTCCCCTACCAGTCTATAACATCACCCTTGAGTAAAACGATAATACACTCAAACTTACCCTCTGAGGTAAGGTGAAGCTGCCTCAATGTCATCATTGTCTCTCTCAACCACTGATTGGCCAAAATTGGGCCATCGTCGTTGTATCCATAAAATTTAGATGTCTTTTAACTCCTCAGTCACTATATTGGGGTCTCTATCGACACTAACATGTTTTGGGTGGGTGACTGAATAGTTTGCGCTCTAGGAATGGCGTATACTATCTCCCTGAGTATGGAAGTCAATCCTCTGAAGAATGTCACCTATGTGATATTTGTGTCTAGTAAAACCCTTAATCATCTACCCTAGGCAGGAACTCCTTACTAAAGCTGTCAGGATAAGAGGCTCGACTCCATCCGATCCTCAAGACCACGCTTAAAACTATCGACCATCAAAATTTTCTACAATAAATATTAAGAAAGAAAAAACCAACAGGATTCCGGACATATAATGTACTTTAAGTACCTAGGGTCATGTATTCACTAACACCTAACTAAAACCGACCATTGGGTCCTAAGACTGACTCAACCATACTCTTATACCACTAATTATAACACCCTAAACCCGAACGAGCAGAAAGTGTCACATTATGCCGCCGAAGTAACCCCTAATTTTCAAAACATATTTTCTTATTTTCAAACATTCTGAATGGTATAAAAAACATACAAGATAGTTATTAAAATATTTTATAAACTGGAGCTCCGTGACACATAATTTAAAATCAAAATAATACAACTTGAAGGTTTACAACTCAAATACACAAGGTTTCATGAATACACATACCCACTAAAGCTGCAGTACAATACTCTAAAGGAGATGTTGGAAGTCATGCTGCGGCGGTGCTCTACGAACTGCTCACCTATTGACCTGCCAACATAAAACATTCGAAGGTTGAGCTTACAAAGCCCAACAATATAATCGCTAATCTAGAATAATATTAAAAGTTTCATAAATGCAAGAATGCTAAAGACATGGTTCTAAGCAGTAGGTACATCCATGATATAGATTAAGTGCTACCTACTTAAGACTTATCTATTCTATCACTGAGGTAAAGGTCTCACGCTTCCCTTAATCCTCTACTGAGGGCCTTTCCATGAGTACACCACTAAAGAGTCTTTAACTTTAACGACTGTAATTGCTACGTATTATCTTGATGCGATACTGAATAATATTTTGTCTCATATAGTCATCAGATTCTAGTTCACAGATGGAACCCAATGTCACACAGCATCGATATAATTCCCACTAATTGCATAATGATAACATGGTCCTCACATAGCCATCAGGTATATCATTAAGGGGGAACCTAGGCATCAATAACAATCAGTAATTCTCACTATACTAAAGCATTGGCTCGGTCTCACAACACCGTCAAGCTAAGCTTTAAGGATATATGTTGTACTGGATTGATGTAGCTGTACATACAAATCTAAGGCCCAAAGGTCACACAACACTAACATCGCTAGCCCACTCCTTACGAGTGTTTAGGCCTTGTGCCCTAGTCATCTACTAAAGTTCCTCGCGCACTAACAATGCCCCTCTATGGCAACTAAGGTAGTTTGACTATACCCTAATATAGCTTGACACACTAAACTCAAGTCAACCCCTCACTAACCGTTATGTTGCTTGTTCTCTCATCTAGAACACTAAGAGAAGGTTTATTAGTCTATTACTGTTTTTGGTTTATTAAGCGACTCTATCTTGATCATTTATTACTCGAGGATGGTTTAGGCATTCTCTACCTCTAGGGGAGTCTCTATGCGGCTCGTGGTTTTTTGATGATTATTGTGTTTGTTATTCACTGACTGTGATATTAGCTAGCCCAATACCTGACTCAGGTTCAATACTAGGTAGCGATACTCTAATCACTCTTTTTACGTTTTCCCTCAATTTGTCCTCGAATTGAAGAGACATCTATATATTCACCATTCGTTGACATTCTTGCTATATGCAATTAGTTGTGTAAATGAGTCGAGTTGAGCTCGAGTATTATTGAGCTCGAGTATTATTGAGCTCGACTCGACTCAAAAACTCTGAAATGGAGCTCGACTCGACTCGAAAACTCACGAGCTTAAAATTTTTAAGCTCGACTCGAACTCGAAATCATGAGCTGAAGCTCGTGAGCAGCTCAAAAATGCTAGAAATAAAACAAAATCTAAAACTTAACTCGATTAAAGCCTCAAACTCAAACTCCAACCTGAAACTTAAATACATGAAAATATTACTTTATTTTTAAAAAAATCAATACATAAATATTAATATTATTAATAATTTATCTAAAAAAATCTTAATATATTATATTTTCAAGCTACTTACGAGCTTTTTGAGTGGAATATCAAGTAGCTCATTTCGGCTCGTTAAGAACTCGAGTCGAGCTCGAGTCAAGTCCATTTGATCCCAGTATTTATCGAGCCTTGATCGAGTTGATCTCTAATAGCTCGCGATCAGTCTCGTCTCATTTACAGCCCTATATGCAACCTTGCTGCTTCTTAATCTGATTATCTCATCATATTACTTGTCATTACACCCTCTACAATGACCCTTCATTCTTAGATATTTAATACGAGGTCTATAAGTGTAATTCAGTAATTTTGCCTCTCAAAGGCATTTTATTAACCTCCTGCACCCACGCTAGATGTTTGATCACAACTGATATTAAACTTCTCACTCTTGATTCTATTTGACATCTTGAAGTCACTCAACCACTTTAGGTATTGATATCAAGCCTTCGATATGGAGACTGATCCTCTAGTATGGAGACTAGTCCTTCAGTATGGAGAGCAGCGGTCTCGAGATCGAGCATCCGATATCGATATTATAACCCACAGTATCGATACTAAAGGATTGATATCGATACTCCTCCCCTTAGTATTGATACTCCCTGCTAAAATTACTCAGATTTTATCCCAATTCATACAGTATCAATATTTAAACATAGAAATATCTTACTTAAGCTCGGGAATCACCCGAAAATCATCCCAATGGTCTTAGTTTGGTTCCTATTCATGTGCGAAAGCTTTAGCTGGTTACTTGGGGTTATAAAGTGGCATAAAAAACCTTATTTACATCTAAAACATCATTTAATCATAAAATCAAGTTTAAACCCTAAATTGTTCAACTATTCAAATCTTAGCAATTCATCATATTTATGAAAGCCTTAACATTCCAAAGGATTAGAAATACACTACCTTGATGTTTAAATCCCAAAATAAAGCTCCTTTAGTTAAAAATAACTCTCCACCAAGACTTGGATGACAAAACCCCACTTTTCTTGTAATAACCCATTAAAATGATGTTGTTAGTGGGTTTAGGAATGAAAATGGAGCTTAAAAGTAGTAAAAAATAGTATTAAAGACTTGTTATGGCACATGAAGAAGAAATGAGAGAATGAAGCAAGAAAATGAGGAAAGAATGGAGATAAAAGAGATAAAAAAAGTCTCCATCTTTTAAAAATAGGATAATTACACTTTTGGTCATCCCACATCTTTCCTATAATAAAAATCTCCTTTTTATGGTTAATTGGGCCCAATTCCAACCTAATTAAGCTCAACGAATTAAATTATAGAATCCATAAGGCCCACATACCTCTCGGGTAAATTCAAAACTACCAGCTCAGAATTTGGGGTGTTACAATTCGATTCAATTTTAGTTTTTTCATATAGAAACCGTTTGAACAAAATAAAAAAAATGAAGAAAATAAGTATCCATAAACACATTAATTTTGAATTTATTATAAGACAAATTTAAATAAATAAAATATTAAAATTAATAATAATTTTATAAATGTAAATTTATATAATTACACTAGATTTAACCTTCACATTTTTTTGTTGTGTTTGAAAAATAGTGAACTGTAAAAAATGTCAAACCGACCGAACCTGAACCGAAAATCATGGTTTTTATGCCCATTCAATTTCCATTTTAAAAAAACCTGTAAAGTACGATTCGATTCATATTTTAGTTGAAAATCGAACCAAACTGAATACACCTCTACCTATTAGCATCAATACGTTCTCGACCTCTCTATAACATATTAAAGCAAGAATCAAAATACGCTCCCTTAGTAGTAGTAAATCATCCACACCATTATACAACATTAACATATAAACATAGCCCCCATCGGCCCACCTAAGGCACTACCTTCTATCCAAGCATAAGTGTTAAGATGCCTTCGCCAAACACAATAAGGATCTTACCGATCGCGACTCTCCATCCAAATCAGAAAGAGTAAATCATAAATGATATCAATTCTTTCTCAACCATAAAAATCCAGTGAAACTACGAAAATGACATTACACCTTCTATCATGAAATCTCGAGTCAAGTCACTTTGTGACATTCCCACCGACTAAGGGAGAATTTGTTGTGCCTTCAGAGATGACCTCCGAAAATCTCTCCATCCACTAGAATCTCTGACTAGCCTACATCCTCAAAATACATACTTCTAATCAACTATAGTGCGTGGGCAAGACCTCTAACAAACATATGTGATGCGCTAGAATGAAATCCAAAGTTTAACTATCAGTTCTACCTAGTCTGCAGATATGCAAATAGCCATGATTATCATATGATTAACACATACTTAAATGACCACTATGAATATCCTTCATCATGATTGAATAAGGGATCGAAGCCTTTACACCTCTACCTTGTCTTCTTCATATCCCTCCTCAAGAATCATCTTTCTTCACAAAAACATTAAAAATACTTTCCACTCAAATTAAAAGAGATAAATTATCAACATCTGACAAATAACCTTATATATATATATAACATGAAAATTTTAGTGTTCTTTAAAAAACATTTAATTAGTGTTCAAATTAAGAATAAAAAAATGAGTGCATATTTCTGTAAATGAGCAATGAGCTATAAATATTACAGTCTATTAAAGACAAAGGGAGAGAGCCATGGCGAAATCGAGGCAGTGATAGATCCATGGCTCCCCATAAAATGGGAGATTATTCATTAACCCCTTTTAAGAATATAAATAATTGTACATATTAATACATGGTAAATTATATTTCTACTTCTTCAATGATAAATTTTAGATTTAATTCTTCTAAAAATATAATATTATAAATTAATATAATAAAAATATTATAATAATTATACTTTAATTTTGACCGGTTTGAGAAAATTTCTAACTTGGGCGGTGAATGAAGCCCAGAAATATAGGCGTGTCGTGCAGAAAGGGGATGTGAGCTGAAGAGAAATAGAATAAAAATATGGGATGGGGAACAAAGGATCTCAGGTGGCAGAAGAGTTTAACATTAAAAATGAACATAGGATAAGCTTTATCAATTACCCCAGAAATAGAACCGACACACCCACTTGCTATTCCCAGGGTATTTAACATCCTTCGCTGCAAATAGGACACCTACAATGCCATCAACAACTCTATCCATTATTACATTTAATTACAACCATATGCATCCATAATATCTATTCAAAAAATTAATATAAATCGTAGGCACTCATTTTTACCCGAGTCGGAATCGTTTTACATTTTATTATTATTATTATTATTATTATTATTATTATTATTAATTATATTTTGCAGGTCCGATTACAAATCAAAACCAAACCCCATTATCAAGTCCACATGTGTCTACCCAAGGAAATTAGGATTTCTAAACCTAGCCCCTATTCTGCCGCAGCCCTAGCCCTCTGTCAGCGTCACCAGACTTGTTGCCGCCACTGACACCGCCGCTTGACGTCGTCCCCGTTTCAGTCATCCATCATAGATCAGTTAGAAAAAACAAATAATAAAATCTATTTGTACAAAATAAAATCCCAAAGAAAATATGGGACTTTCAAGGCTTGAGGTAGGGTAATCATGCCCTATCTTCATCAAATCAACATGCGAGAAGAGCGACTATAAAGGGAGAAAAAATAGAAAATCAAAAAAGGGGAAGAAAGAAAAAACAGTACAAAAAATGAGATAACAAAGAAAATAAAAAATAAAAGTAAGAAACCTCATCGTTTGGAGTCGAATCACCCTGCTTCATCGGCGTTGTTGGATACCTAAGACACTAAAGGTAGTTTCTTTATTTCGAGTTTTGTTTTAAGAGAAAGGGAGGGGTTGAGTCCATAGCTTGGGAGTTTGGTTTGTTTAGTGTTTCAAAAAGGGGAGACTAGGAGACTCCTGGGGGAGGAGGAGGGCGTCAGCCCTTCATAGGGGCTATCCGAGACGGTGGCCGGAGAGAAAGTCTCTCTAACTCATTTAATAGAAAGAAAATGAGAGAGGGGGAGTAAAGAAATGGTGAAAATGGATGAAAGGAAAACGGGGAAGGGTTTCAGCTGAAAAGGATAAAAGAGGGATATTTAAACCCCCAAAACGACGTCGTTTTGGGGCCTAGGGTTTCCTCAAAACTAATGTGTGGTCTAACTATGTAAGGAGGAGTTCTGATTTTATAAAATTATGTTTTGATCACTTAAAACAAGTTTACGTTTTTATGCTTCGGGCTTTTATTTTATCTGACTTATATTTCAGTCACTCCGGGGTTATTAGCATGCTTTGGTTAAATTTGTGTTTTGATCTATTATTTTTTAGATTTTTACATTTTAATCCTTTTGTTTATTAAATGCCCAAAACATACTTATTTATGCTTTGGATCCCTCAAGGTTTGTCGTATGTTTACTTTGGTCACCATTTTGATTGAGTTATGATGTAAATAAATTGAGTTAATGTTTAAATAGTCCTTTGCTTCTCCTTATTTATTTTAATAGGACCATATGCATATTTGTTTGTGTATGTATATATGTAGATAAAAAAATATTTTTTTATAATCATAAATTTTATTAATCATTGTTTCTTTTATGTCATATTAGTTTTTTACTTGTACTTTTAAAGCGGGTACATATGTGTATTTTATTTATTTTGTGCTTATTATTATTCTGTTATTGCTATTTTTTCCTGTATATATATTTTATTTTTTATTTATTTAAATATTCGTATGTTAGTATATGCTAGAAATAGGTTTATTTGAACATTGTCAAGGATGCTCGTCGTAGAATGGGCATGACAATACCTCTCTATAGGAGAAGTACGATTTCGACGACATTCAAACGAAAAATGAATTTGTAATTAATTAGTTAATTTTAATAAAAATATCATACTTTAATTTCTAACTCGAATATATGTTTCCGCTATTACGACAACATATAAATGATTAGGTACCAATTTCGGGCGATGTGGGGTGCTTACCATTCCCCACGTATAATCGATTCTCGAATCCTCAAAAATGAATTTTTGGTAACACAGACCAATTTTTATTTTTAAAAAATAATTTTTCTTAAAATTGTTTAAAAGATTTCTTTTAGGTATTCGACTTACCTAATCTAAAGGTCGATGGCGACTCCAAATCAAATTTTACCAAAAAATTCAAAATTTTCAAAAGAAAGTCATAATTATATTTTAATTCAATTTTTCGTTTTAAAATGGTTATTACAGCTTGGCGACTCTACTAAGAACTATTTTTAGAGAGTCGGACCATCAATCACTTATACATTATTGTAGTGGTGGAAAGTATAAATTCGAATTTTTAATTAGTTTATGATTCTTTTTATCTAAAGTTTATTAACTTATTTCGGATATTTTATTTTGATGATTAATTTACTAATTTCTTATATTTTTTTATTTCAGATTCATTTTTAAGGTATTTTTTTTATTATGGGTGGGGTTGTTTGGGCAAAGGTTCGTATGCTCTTCCTCACACACCACGCGCTTTCCATGACATACGCTTTATACATGAGCTCTGTCCCAATTAAGTAGGGGTGAACGCTATACTTTCGTGGTGAATTTATTCCCCGTATGAGTTATATTAATTAACCTCTAGGATACATGCCTTATACCTTTGTGAGAATTTATTTCCGCGTATGGGTATAGGGAAATGGATCCCCTCGAATTGAACATGTTCCATTTGAAGTCTGTAATAGGTGAGAATCGAGGGTTTGTCAACCAAAGGTGGCACTAACATTAGGGGTGTATTCGGTTCGGTTCGGTTCGGTTTTTTACCAAAAACTGAACCGAACCGAAATAAACGGTTTTTCAATATTTAAACCGAAACCGAAACCGAATAGTTAAAAAACCGAAATCGGTTTTTTCGGTTCGGTTTAGGTTTTTTAACGGTTCGGGTTTTTCGGTTCGGTTCGGTTTTTCGGTTTTTCAATGAAAAAATCACTTGAAACTATAATTTTTTTTACAAAAATTGCCTATTCGGTTCAATATGGAACAAATGGGTTCCATATGGAAAACCCGAACCGAACCGAATCAAAAAAATAAAGCATTTAAACCGAACCAAAAATCGAACCGTTTAAAGCCAAACCGAACCGAACCGTTTTACTCGGTTCGTGTCGGTTTTTCGGTTTTCTCGGTTTCGTTGCTTACCCCTAACTAACATCAAGGAAAATTCGAGTACCTTTTCCATATAGCCGAAACAATGCATATAGTTAACCATAGAATGGTCACCCTAGGTATAGTCATGTCAAACCTCTGTCCATTGGTAGGTACCAAAATAAGTATACACAAGTGAAGAGCGATTATGAAACTTCATTTTTTTCACTTTAAATTCATAGATAATTTTTTTTGAATGATAGTATGCGAACTATATTTCATGCAATTATGATTAATTTCTTGAAAATAAAGTGTACCAGATAGAAAGCATGTTTGGGTAAGATTTCTAGTTAATAAAATCATGTTCGGGTAGATACCATGATTGGGTAGGTATTATATTTATCTTTAAATATAACATTTTATCGGTTATCTTACTTGTTCTAACTCATTTCTTTTTTAATGTCATTTTCGCTTTTTTTTGCATTGCATCGACCTGACATAATGCAAAAGTGTTGATCTTCAAGGGAATATTTAAGTGAAATTTTTTATAAGTAGGGACAAAAGTTTTCAATCAAGCAGTCGCATACATAGACATACACTGATGGTTAATGAAAGAGAATGAGAAAGAGGGTCATTTGAAGATAGCGCACCTGAATTGACTGATAGAACAACATTCATGATTTAAAATTTGATCCCTTGATCTGAGAAGTGATGTAGTAATAAATTCTTATCTACGATCGTTCCACAATTGATCATCAAGGAGTGACGCATGACTTCAGCACCTTAAGGGTAATAACCGAGATAGGCCATAGAATGCTTGAGGGGCATAGTTTTTTAGGATGACGCTTTGAAACAAAGCATGGATCCACTTTAGACCCAGCATCCAAGCGAAAGCATGTCTTTAAAATGGACTATCTTGTAATGTAAAGACTATTATCTCTGATAAAAATTATTCTACGATATTCATCGTTGGGACCAACACTTTTTGTATATGCATTTGCATCTTTATATTTTGCACTTGTATTACATTTATTTAAACATTTTTTGAATGCATTAATCATGAAAACATGGGGATTAATTCATGGAAGACTATGTGGCAATGGTTCTAATCACATAACACAACATTAAGAATAGAAGCAAGATTTGAACAATTGAAGGAATAATTGCAAGAGAATTTACAAAGAATGCAACGAGATTGGGTAGCTAAATTGGAGCAATCACAAAAAGCTACCATGAACCACATCTTGCAAACTGATGCCTGCATGGTCGATCAGATTGTTAAGAAATTGGTTGGGCTCAAACAGGAAAAAGGCAAAGAGCATGCTTTTTCATCTATGAAAACCTCTAAACGTGTGATGGTACATGCTCCACAGCTAACTATTTCACCTCAGAAGCTTCCCAATAATCAGAAAGGTAAGAATGAGATACCCAATAACTTAAAAGACTGGTGCAAAGAATACTTTAAAGGAATGAAGGAACAAAGCTCCCAATATGAAATGAATGCAAGTGAGTTATCCTTAGTTCCTGATTTGGCGCTCCCACCCAAATTCAAAATGCTCGAATTTGAAAAATACGATGGAACTAGTTTCCTTTCTGACCATCTCACGATGTTTATTCGAAGGATGACTGGATACACCAACAATGATCAAATGTTAATTCATTGTTTTCAATACAGTTTGATTGGACCCACTTCTAAATAGTACAATAAGCTAAACTGCACTCAGATTCATTCCTGGAAGGATCTGGCTCATGTATTTTTGTGTCAATATAAACACATGATGGATATGGCCCCTGATCGAACAACATTGCAAAATATTGAAATGAAGCATAACGAGAGCTTCCGACAATATACACAATGATGGAGGGGCGTCGTATCCCAAGTGCATCCACCAATGATTGAAAGGGAGTTTATCACTATGTTCATAGACACGCTAAAACCTCCCTATATTAACAATATGCTAAGGGTTGCAGCAAAGAAATTATCTGACATCGTCATGTATAGAGAGATGATTGAAAAGGCCATCAATAATGGTAAACCGAGGAGCACAAGCAACACTAACACCGAGGAAGAAGCTGAAATTAGTATGATGAAATCCTATTCAGCTAGCCACAAGGCCAAACCTCATAGCATGATATGAGACAAGAGTCAATTTGATCCAATTCCAATGACCTATGAGGAATTACTTCCAATATTGGTTGAGAATAATCTTGTGACTCCATTTCAGTCTAAGGAAAAAGAGCCACATACCCTTAGGGATACGATGTTGACTCCATATGCAGTTATCACATAGGAAGTTCATGGCATTCTACTAAGAATTGTGGGGCACTAAAGCGCAAGGTCCAGAATTTGATTGATTCAGGAGCATGGACATTTGAAGAATTTAGGCATTCTGATGCAATCAAAAAGAGGTTTTTTCATGAGGCTTTCTTGCACTTGCATTAAAAACATTGTTTTGTTTAAACTCGTTTTTGTTCTTTCTTTAATATTTGCTTAAATATTTTATGAGTCGTTTGATTATTGAACTTATGCTACCTTCTAAGGTTATGAATAATGAAACAAGTTTTAATCTTGTAGTTCTTTGAATATCGATTGAATTATAGAATCTTTTAATTCTTCAAGAATTGTAGATTTTTTACATATTACAAGATTAGAGCTTTCTTATCCCGTCCAAAGCCAAAAATAAGATCACTCAATTCTTTACCCAGAATAATTCATGGTCATTACCAAATAATCAAATTTTGACATTATCTTTCTTTGAAACTTTGAAATATTGCCTTTATATTTTTTTCGAAACACAAAAAGTCATACCCTTACCTTTCGTTGAGACAATAAAGTCACACCCTTGTCTTCTTAGACACAAAACCAATATTTTTCTACCAAATAAAA